TATATATATATATATGTCTTCTTTATGAATTTCGTGTACTTGAGAGACCTACATATTGATAAAATACTTTAAAACATCTTTATTTACCAAATTATATGGAAGATTTAAGAGTCGATTGGATTTAAAAGAAAACGGTATAGAATTTTGAACTGGCACAAGAGGTGGCAGATTTGGCGCCATTTTCCAGAGAGCTGGCGTCAGAGGCACAAAAACTCTAGCACTTAGTAGGTGGGGTCAATGTGAGGGAGCTCATGGTGAGTCCCCATAGGATTGTTTAGCCTTAGGATTGACCCTGAGTGTTGTTCTTGAGTTGGTGCATACACTTTCACTCACTTGCACATTACATCCCACTCACAACCCTAAACCCAAAGTGTTGACTTTGATCCCTTGATCTTTAAGGAGACTCATGTAGATGGTCACTAAGACCCACCAGCCCTAGGCTAGGGTTTAGATAAAACCACTACATAGAGGACCCAAATAGAGACTCCATTGGTCCATACCTCAAATAGAGTGGTTGACACCTCACTTTCACCAAAATACCTAACTTAGCCTTTTGCCCCCTAAATCTACCCAATTTACTAAAAACACCCCAAAAACTAAGTTTCTCCAAAATTCTCAATTTCATCCAAAATACCCAAATTTGTTCAAAAATCATCTTAAACTATTTAAAACCACCCAATTTGTCAAAAACACCCCAAAATATTCAAAATTACCAAAACACCTTTCAATTTGCCAAAATTACCAAAATGTCTTTGGTGGCCCAAACTTTCATAAAATCTTCAAAATCATTTAAAATGTCCCAAAAACCAATTTGGACCCTTCAATTGAAGTCAATTTGATTAATTTGACCATTTTGACCAAAAGAATTCACCTAAAATGTCCACCAATTTGATCATAATCTTCTCCAATTTTAATTTTAAACTCAAATTCATCATAAACAAACTCAATTCAAACCAAATCCAAGCCCAATTGACCTATATTTGAATCCAATTTCAACCAAAATAAAAAAGCCCCAATTTGGCCCAAAACCAAAATCTCACTCAATTGAACCTCCAAACCTATCTAATTGCCCCAATTTTGAATCATAAATTTTTCAAAACACTCCCCCATATAGAATTGAACCTTTAATTGGCCTTGTTCAAGTCTCAATTTTACTCAAAATCAACTTAGACCAAAATCCCTAATTTTTCCCCAATTTAGCCATGTCTCCAAATGTCACCATATTGAATGCCCAAATCCCAAAATTGACACCCAATTAATGTTGATAACTCTTCATAACATTCCCCTAAACCATTTGAACTCTCAATTTGGACTTAGCCCAACTTTAGCCTAACTTAAACCTGAGTCTAACTCAACATCCCCAAATTGATCAAATGCCCAAATTCTCTCAAATTAAACCTCCAAATCAATTCAAAATCACTCCAAATCTTTTCAAAACTATTTATGACAATCATTTATATCATCTTGATCAATAAATTGAGTCCAATGTCATGGCTAGCCCAACCCAAACCCAACTTCAAACCAATTTGACCCAAATTGAACCCATGCACCAAAATTAATTAAGCCATGCCAAATTGGCCAACGTAGGACCACTCCAGCCACCAAGTGCACCCTAGTGACCAGGCTAGACTCACTTACCCACCCTAGATGAGCTATGGACCGATGGTCCTTTGATTTAAGGGATTTCACCCATATTTGTCCTAAACTTGAAATATATTTGCCATCATTGATATTTGCCATCATTGCTTACTAGGAGTTAATCATAATTAGTCACCCCCTGACCTCCTTGAGCTCAGCGTTGACCAGACCCTGGCCAGCCACCACCTCAGGCATAGGAAACAGTCACCCCAAAGGAGCCCAAGAGGGCCAAAACCCAAAATTGAACTTACCTGAGCTGGTTAAGCTTGATTGGTTGTAAGGGTCTTTCTTTCATCCACTAAAATCCTTAAAAAAACTAACCAATAAGGATCAACACTTATCGCTAGGAAAGTTATGCACAAATAATGCTAGAATATCCATTCTCAAAATATTATGAATTGTGACCCAATATCTTCTCTTGAGGAGAGGACAAAAAGAGAAGAAGGAGAATTTCAGTCTATAATGGAGAGATATCTCAACGAGTAACCACCGGCTTTCATAGACGACAACCACCGTCGACTGCTGCCCTCTATAGCTACCGTTGACTAGCGTCGACCTCCACTGACTACCGCCGATCACCAGTTGTCGTTGCCAACCAGTAGCCGTCGATGACCATTGCTGCAATCACTGTAGCCAGGCTATGGTTGTTTTTGAATTTCCTAATACTTGTATTTTTTTTACAAGAGTAATTCTCAATGTAAATTTTTATCTCTGTTCTTTCTATTGTGAGATAATGCGATACACTTGTATTTATACATGATATATTACTTTTACTCATCAACCCCGATGGATTTTTCCTTTTTCGGATATTTTTACATAAGAAAATATCAATTTTTTCTCATGCTATTTTTTTTTCTTTTTTCTGAATAATCGTGCAACACTCAAACCCTAAATTATCACTATTATTGTAAATTTTTCGGCACGTGATAAATTGTATTTCAATAATTTAGATAGTTCTGATTGAAAATTAATTTTCTAAAAAAAATCTAACTGCACATTCATCAAAATAACATTAATGTAATAATATAAAATCAAATTTCTCAATTAGTGCCAAGTTTTCTCATAAAATTTAATACCCGATGGAAGGGACCGAGTCGACTCGGTCCCCAAATCATCGTCTCCTTGCCGGAAATGTCGCCGGATCTGCAGGCGAGTTCATCAACGTAATTATTTTCATTCACATTTTTACGAAGAAATATTACATCAGTAGTACGCACTTAAAAATAACGTGCGTAGCCAATCAAAACACACCACTACATCTCGCGCGGTAGAGCAAAAAAAACGGCGCAGTAACACGGGGAATATTCCATCCTGTGTTATTCATGTGTTATTGCGCGTTATTCATGTGTTATTGCGTGTTATTCATGTGTTATTGATGTGTTATTGTGTTATTATAACACCAAGAATATTTTCAGGATATAATAACACATGAATAACACACAATAACACTTGAATAACACGGGAAATATTCCCGACAGAGAAAAAAACGGCGCAGTAACACGGGAGAATATTCTCTCCCGTGTTATTCTTGTATTATTATGTGTTATTCATGTGTTATTCATGTGTTATTGTGTTATTATAACACCAGGAATATTCCCAGGATACAATAACACATGAATAACACACAATAACACATAAATAACACGAGGAGGAATATTCCCCGTTTTACTGCGCCGTTTTTTTTCTGCGTCGCGCGGGATTGGTGGCGTGATTTCATTGGCTACGTACGTTATTTCTACGCTTAGTCTTAGTATTGATGTAATATTTTTTCCATTTTTACCCCTAGTATTTAACATGCTCCGCCTCAACACTGCCAAATGAGTCGCCGACTTCCTACCGATCCGCAAGCGATGAACTGCCGAGCTGATACATGAGAGTTTTACACTTCGTCGATCCTATCAAGCGCCCAGATCTGCCAATGTCATCGCCTCCGTCATCCTCCGCAGAGGCTCGCCGCGTCGCTGCAGTCGCCATCCGCCTTCCCCCGCCCTGTCCCCACCTCGCCGCCTACCGCTCTGTTTGGAGCTCCCATCCCCTCCGCTCCTTCCATCGCTGCCTCCGCGTGCGCCCCCTCGGCCGTGCCGAGGTACAACGCGATCCTGGCGAGGTACCCCGCTGCGCTGCGTGCTCCTCGGCCAGTAGTTCCCGCCTATATGCTTGCCTAGCCTGCGCCGCCGTTCACTGTCCCACTCACGCTCCTGCCCATGCCCGTATTGGCCACGAGATCGCCGTCGACGTCGATCGAGCCGAGCTATTCTGCTGCGCGTGCGGCGATCAGATCTACGATCGCGACTTTGACGCCGCCGTCGTTCTTGCACAGGCCGCTGCTGCACCCGAGCTGGGGAGATTGGAGTCTTCCGTGGTTGAGGAGGGTGTCAGAAAGCGGCGCAGGGTTGGCTACCGACCGTGGTACCCGGATCCGATGGAGAATGCTATGATTTGGAGGGGATCTAGCTTGATCTTTGCCAATGAGGATAATGTGTTGTCGTCGGCTGGATCGCGGTTGCCGTGGGGACTCAGAGGACTGAACAATCTCGGGAACACCTGCTTCTTGAACTCTGTTCTTCAAACGTTACTTCATACTCCCCTTCTAAGGAACTACTTTTTGAGTCACCGGCACAACCGCTTCGTTTGTCAGGAGGAAAGGATGAAACAAGATGAAGGTGCTGACGAGCAAGTGACTGCCGCATTGTGCCTTTCTTGTGATCTGGACGCAATGTATTCTGCCGTGTTCTCTGGCGATCGCCGACCTTACAGCCCCGCCAAGTTTCTATATAGGTATATATCCGTCCTTCCATTCTCTTCCTTTAGATCTGATTGGGCGGAAAGTTAGTTTCCATTAAGTTGGAAAGATATATTTCTTTTGTTTGGCGCAAGGGAGCTTTTTAGCCGTTATGCAGTGTATTTTGTGCTTGTTTAGCTAAGAAGTTCTCGTTTTAAAATTTTAATCAGAACATATTTTATTGCCAGGTAAGGAAACTGAATAAACTATGAAATTTCTTCCTTTAGAGTACGACTCGCTTTGTGTTAAAGAATATTGGCCCTTTTTTGGATACAAGGTTGAATTTTATTTTATTTTATTTGTGTTATATTTCGTATGTGTGCATTAGCAGTTCTCTTAATGTTGCAGTGGCTCTTGTGCATTCCTTTCTAATCTTCTTAAATGCTATGCTTGTACATTCAAATTCACCTATATTTAGTAAGATCAGTCTTTCTAATCAAAATAGACCGAGTTGAAGAGAAGTCAGCCATTTATTTGCCACCAGGAAGAAATTATCATAGTATGTGCATGTCTTGTTAGTTTATGTCATCAATGATATTCAACAAAGTTCCCTTATACTCGCACTAAGGTCATTTAATGTCATTAAAGCTACTCATCGTAGTCATCAGGTGATGTAGTTAGAGACATCATTATAATTCAAGAAGTTAAAACATTAAGAAGACACTTGGAATAAGAAGAATATGCTCAACACGAACATCTTACATTCATTGAAAGAGGCTTATTATACTAAATTTGAGGAAGGAGAATCGTTCTGCGAGCCTAAATGCTTGAAAGGTGGATTGAATGATGACTACCTCAGTTGATGAATGCCTTTTTTCTGAAAGTTGTGAAAACTAAACCTCCTTTCATACTCGAAATTCTAAATCTACCGAGATTGGACTAACATTGCTGATCACATAGCATACTTCGATTTAGTGGCCAATCTGCTTGACATAAACGACATGCTGAAATGTCATTTTTTCTTAGTGACTTTTATAAGGCTAGCATTCGGGCGAGTAGTCAGATGTGACTTGTAGAACTTTTGCATTTTTAGTTTTGGAAGCTTGTATAATCTTTTTGAATAATATTTTATTTACATTGTATCGACCAACTCTATGTAGTTTGTATGTTTTGATATGATTTTTCATGCTTCTGAGCATGCATATAAATGATTTATAAAATGCAATGTATCACGCATAATACTGCAATTTAGTTAGACAAAATTCATGATTACTGTTGGTGAGAATTTAGTTTGATTGAATTATTCATCTCTGTCGGATCACAGTTGACCCTATCAGGGGGTTAAGTGGGAGTGTGACAACCTCTTGGCCTTAGGGTTGCTCGGCGACCTCCTTCACAGGTTCTTCACCCTCAAGCTTTAGTCTTTTAGGTTATCCTCTTCTAATGGAGATAGACTCATCCGTGAAGCCCGTCTTGTGTTACTCTCCATGCTTCCCCTTTTTTAAGAACTTGGCTTTTTGAATGTTCCCTTCTTTAGGGATGCTTGGACCTCCGAATTTTCTGATATCAAGTAGTCTTGGGGGTTGGTTGCAATAAATATAAAATTGCTACTAAAAAAATAACTCATTCAAGCATAACATGAAGCTACATATTTTAACTTTGCTATTTGAGATGACTTTCAAGTTAAGTATTACTTCATGTTAAATAGCTCAACATATCTTTTTGGGGTTCAGCTGTCATGCTTTACGATGACCTCTTCGTAAGTCGTCGTGGACATAACAAATTTGAGATTTAGGGAAAATAAAGTTACTATAATTGAATAAAATGGACAAAATTTTTTTGCAAGCCACTGAAAATGCAATGTACTATTTGGAACAACAAAAGATAGCATTATCATTAGCTTGTTAAAAGATAATTTGAACTTGAATAAGAATTTCTTTTGTTTAATACTTGACTAAAATTATTTGAAGTAAGTTGAAGTGGTGGTTGGGGTCTCGAACACAAATTTTGATGTTCTTTCTATTAGGATAGAACGAAAGATAAAATAAATCACCCAAATTTACTTAGAACAATACAACATATTACTCTAATTTATTCAAATTATTTGGAAGCAATACAAAATATTTCTTTTATATTTATCTTTAGAGCATCTAATACAGATTAAAATTCGTCTATAAAATCTAAACTTCATTTTATATATTACTTAAATATTTTTCTATCCAATAATTGTATAACAGAATATGATTATAGAAAGACACTTGATTCTTACTCAACTTTAATTTTTAGTTTTCCTTTTTTTCCTTATAGAACGGATATAATAATCCAACGAGCTATGAGACTCCGTACGATAAAAGAATCTAATGCATATCTTAAATACTTAAGAACAATAAAAATATATATGTCAATTATGAAATGAACATAATTATAAAATTAATTATAAATGACTAAATAATCCAAGATTAGCTTTGATTATATAAAGATTTAAATTAAAATGTTTACACTTGGAATAGCAATAAAAATGAATAGGTAATTTTTCTGATTATATTATGCCAGTCAATAATCTAATTAATTGCGTATTAATTTTAATTATAATGAATCTTTCTTTCACTTACTATTTTTTACCTTCTATTTATTTTAGCTTCAGAATTTGTCATGTATGATTGTCTAGGTTTATTGGCCACCATGAGATTGTGAGTTATAAACCCACATTATCTAAATGGGATATAAACCCAAATTGAGGGCTACATCATAAAATTCAATAGAATTTAAGTGGATGTCATTATTATCAATATTAAGCAGCAGTGAGGATCCTTTTGTCTCTATAGGAGATCTTTTTACCTCACCTTTGTCGGTATCATAGATATATCATTGCCAATTTATCTTTTACGACGTGACATTTTTTGAGCTAAACATATTTTCATCATTGAATATTCAAATAAATATGCTATTCATTTTTAAATATGCTGAACGCCTACATATGTAAGTAAGCAATTTATAGATCTGGATGCTTTAAAAAAATATATTTGTATAAATATAATGCATTTAATTACAAGCTTGTATCATCAAATTTTTGTGTGATTATATACACATGAATAATAGGTTATAACACGCCTTCCTCAATATGAAAACTTTTTATTATATTGCACCCATTGGTCCATTTACTTATAAATGAAATGCAAGATACTAAAAAGGAATTTACCTCTTTTATTAGAATTTGCATATTATGCTTAATTGTTAATTTACCCCTTCGAAACTAATGGCTTAAAACTTTCTTTTGTAAAGAATCTCAATGTTTTCTTTTCTCATACAAGCATTAAAGCATACCACACCGATTTGAATTCAAATCATTAGAAAAATGCTACCATTTTTTTAATAACACTCTTATTATTAATAATCCATATTTGTAAAGAATCTCGCATTCTTCACCTTCTTCTTTCTGATTTTAAATAATACTAAAATTCATTTTAACATTTAATATGAGTTCAAATTGTTACATGTTAAAAATCTCATAAAATTAATGTAAAATTTCATGGTACCTTAATCCACCGCTTGGTCGAGGCTCCTTATCTCGCATGCTAATCTTCATTGGGCTTCGCTCCACTTCAAGGCTTGGTCACCCTTATCTCACACACTCTTGATCTCTCTCTTCTTCCTCCTCTTCCTTTGATATTGGTGTGGCCTAACACAACATACACGTACTTTCCTCCTCAGTCTTCGCACTAAAGGCACTCAATCAGGGTTCGTCGGGATGACTCTCCACATCTCTCATTAAGGGTCTGTTTGGCGCAGTTGCAGTTTCTCAGTTTTTCAGTTGCAGCTACATTATCATAGGAATTTACTGTGGGGAAACTGGTTGTCTGTTTGTTGCAGCTATGTGAAAACAACTGTGGGGTATCTGTTTCTAGAAAATTGACCATTTTGCCTCTTTTAGTGAAGCTGTTTAAAACAGAACTGTGACTGCGACATATTTGATACTTTAGAAATAGAAATTCATTTCAAAACAAAATAAAAGTTCATATACGCCACTCATTAAATAATAAGTGCCAAAAGTGTTAAGGAAAAGAAAAAAAGGCTAATAAAATTACAAGTAAGATGATGATGATATTATTTTGAACATGAAAGCGATGTATGTCTCGTCCTAAACTATCCTCCGATGATGCTATCAATTCGCGAACACTTTTGGCACTGGAATCAACCTGATCGTTAGTCCATCGGAAAAAGTCACACTATTCTGCGAGTTCGGGGGAATCTGCAAAACCGTTGACTGTAGCTGTGGAGCTGGCGTGACCTTAGAAAGGGGCCAAATGGATCTTGCAAATGCTAGTATTATAAAAAGTCTCACATTTCTAGCTCTATAGATGACATAAACCAAGGTCAAGCAAATTAACAAGTGGAGCACTTTTTCAGCAGGGTGATTAACCAAGCTTTCGGCTGATAAAGCTGAGGTAAGACCGGGTTCCATCAAGGAGTCTCTATGAAGAAACTTACTAAGCATATCAAAGAACTTGTAAGAAGGCTTTTGCATCTGTCCTAACCGATCTATAAATCAATATGCACAGAGAGAGAGAGAGAGATAAATTTACTTTATATACAACCAAAAAGTAAAATTAGAAAATTGAAGCCCCTGTAATGTTTCTAGGCAACATAAACGTAAAAATCAGGGCTCCATCAATTTCCCAATTATACATATAAAATAGGCGATTGGAGTAATCTAAACAGATGCTGTGGAGAGGAAAAGGTGTTAGACAAGCAGAAGTGCCATCACAACTCTTGAAAAATTGGTCTCCTTCAATTCCCTAGCACCTGATTTAAAAAAAAACTACATACCTATCTCATTAAATCAAAAAGAAGACAAGCATTGTAATCTAGAACTTGCTTGACAGGTTGGAACCTCAATTCTATGGACTATGACATTAGGGGATTAACCTGACATTTTATGATATGTCCAAGCAAAACTATTCTTAAACTCTGTGAGCAACCCAATCAGATCGTTGACATACTTGAGTGACATATTAAAATAGCTTTCAGGATTATAATACTTTTATGAATGGCAATT